ATATATATATATAGAACAAAATTTGAGTTTAGATTTTTGCCAGACAAATAGTAGAGATGCTTCTTGCTTCATAGGTTAGCAAATGAATTGCAGCTTAATTTAAATAAGATAGAAATTTTGTTGTTTGGATGCAAGGACTAGGTTTGCATCCTGTTTTTAGTGGGGTTTTTCAGTAGTAGTTTTGTGAGTGTTCCTAGACCTAGCTCGTATTTCCTATATGGTAAGGTTTTGAGGAGTGCTTTCTACCAGCTTAGGTTGCCTTACTCCCGGTGGCCATTCTTGGAACAAAAGTCATGCATACCTTAATAATTACTGTCATTTGTTCTCTTGGAGGTGCCCTTGGTCCTAAAGAGGGTTTTTTTTTAGGGGGAGGGGTTTACTGGAGCCTCCCAAAGTGATCATTGTGGTCTTTAATTGTAGGTCACCCCAAGTAGGACTTTGAGGCGGCGGCATAGAAATATTCTAAATGAATAAATGAATCATTTTACTCTTGTGCTATGTCAGTTTTGCTGATGGTGGATCTGTTTCCAGGTCCAGTTCTCTATACTGGTTGAGATACTCTGGTAATATGTCATGAATATTAAGCTAATTTTACAGGGATTATTAGTCACTTGGTCAGACTGTTTCTTGTTTCATCTAAATTCACCCAGAGTTCCAACAGGCCCTTCCTTGCAAAGTATAAGCTTCGGCCTGTTCATTTGGTTAGGAAGCAGAATACCCATCCCCCTTTTGTTGTTTTAACTAATTTGGGTAAATGCGAGAGGATAATTAAACTCAACAGGCCCCATGGGTCTTTTCCCTTAATTTTTATTTTAAACATTCTTTTTTTTTAGATGTTTCAACCCAGCCTTCTACCAAATGTTATTTATAGAAGCTGACAAAGCTGAAAACAAACCAAGCCGTGCTTATTTTATAAAAGCACAGTGGTAACAAAAAGCTGCATACGGCAGTGAAAACCCAGGCAACAAGTAGCAAAAATAAAAGCAGCAATAAAAATCCAAATTGATGGCAATAAAACCAGTCAGTTGAAATGTTAAGAAAAGAAAATTAACAGTTGGCACTGAAAACCAGCAGGAAGCAATTGGGCGGAACCTCCATCAAAGGCCCTTTAGAACCCTAAAGTCTTCCCGGTTTCCAGAAGACTGAGAGCCAGGGGATTAAATAATGAAGAGCAAGGAAGTCCAAAGCTTTGGGACCAACATCTAAAAAAAAATCTTTGTATTGTGTATCCCCCAATCTCAGCTTAATTAATGCTGGAACATAAAGCAGGTTAGAGATAGTTGATAAATATTCAGAACCAGATAAAATCTTTCATTTCCTCCGTATGTGATTAAGAAAAGTTAAACATGATTAGCTTTCCCCTCCCCTTCCGGCTTAACATGGAAGTTCACTACATCAAAAATTAAGACCCCTGTTTTGCATTGAGCTCTCTGTTTTTATACTTTGCCTTGCTGTGATCTCTTGACTTTTGGACAGATAATTGCGTGAGGAACCGGAAGCTGAGAATCTGACTCTTTCATTACTATCCATCATATGCAAAAGAGGAGGAATCAGCTTCTCAGCAGCAGCCAGTTCCTCATGCAATTATCTTATCTGTCCAAAGGTCAGAAGATCACAGTAAAGCAAAGTATGAAAACAGAGAGCTCAATGCAAAGTATAAGAGAGTGCAGTGCAGAACAGGGGTCTCGGCCTTTTGGCTAAGATCAAGTGTGTGTTTCATTTTTCTTGTAGGTAATAAAATTTTTAACTTTTGCTAATCTGGTGTTTGTGTGACCTTGGAGTACAGCTGTCCTTTTCTACTCTTGAACATAATAACAGCAGTGTATAGAAGAACTATGATTTTCCATGGGTGACATCTTTCGTGAAAATTTTGCCATAAAGCACTGTGTTTTCTTGCATACGTATATGAGAGCTAGTTTGTAGCAACAGGTTTGGACTTGAAACTTATAGCATGGCCTTGGGAAAAACTACTTCTAACCCCACCTGCAGTTAAATTGGAAATATAGTGGCATACTTCAGAGGATTATTGGGAAGAGATATGAGATAAGGATTGCACGAGCACACTGTCTTTTTGAAATACCAGTTATATCTCACATGTTCTGCCTGAAAGAAAATACAGCAATTATGTTGGTCTGTGTAACAATACACTGGCTTGTATTCCAAGCTTTGGGTCTAATACTACTTTTCAATTTCTGCTTCTTTATTTTTAAATGTAAAGGTCTGGAAGATGAAATAGGCCATGATATGCAGTATGTTTCTCCGGAATCTCATGTTCAGCAAGATGATGATCAGCAGCAGGGCTGGGTATCATGGGCCTGGTCTTTTGTACCTGCTATTGTGGGTAATGATGATGAAGAGGGAGACTCTGCTGGAATGGATGACGAAACAGCAATGAATCAGCAGAAATCACCGACAGTGAAGGATCCCGTTGTTTCTATTGGATTTTACTGCACAAAGGCCACTATCACATTCAAGGTAAGATTTTAAAAGTATATTGTTGTTTCAGCCCTCAGAAAAGCTGCATCATTAGATGCCTGCCTGTGGTTGTTCTCTTGATAATGAGGAAAATACATATTAGGTACACATTTGGATGAATGTTTGTAAGTTTCTGGCTTTCTTTAAAATAGAAAAAAAAAGCTGCATTAAAATAGAACAGTTTAGAACACTCATATCATATTTGAATATTAATTGAAATGATTTTTTTGTTAGTGAACAATTAAAAAAAAGAATTCACATGATTAATTTCAATGCAAGGTATTAAAAATCTAACCCGTATAAAAGTAATGGTACAGCAAATCTTTGAATTGGATACTAATTTTTCTCGCCTTTCTGGACAATAAAGCTATTGCTAAATTTTCACTAACTGAGCACCTTGTCGAAAAGCTTCTGTTGCATCCCATCCCTGATCCCACTTTGTGGGTGCTTCCACAGCTTACAATGTGCATTGTACCTCTGCATCCTGAGTTCCTTCTTTGCAGCACCCTTCCCACCTTATGACGGGGACACAGGGGCTCAGAAATCTCTGTTCCAACTTGTATCTGTTGAAGGGATCATTGACTCTTGAAAGCTTCTACCCTGAAAATCTTGTTGGTCTCCAGGGTGCTACTGGACTTGAATCCAGCTGTCCTACTGCCGTCTCACACGGCTACCCTCTGAAACTACCACAGCTAATTACTGTGTAGAAAGATTTGCTATAGATGGATGGTTTTTAGATAGTGCTGAATAAACTTTTGCCTTGGCAAGGGGAGGCTGTTTGTAAAAATTCTGTTAAAAAATTGTAAAAAAAACCCTTTCCCTATTTATCCAAATAGTAATGTTCCCAACATTGGAACACAGGAATGAATATACCTGTTACGAATCATCAGTGTTAAAAGCACAGCTGTGTAAGGAAGTAGTAAGAAGGAAATTCCTCTTTCCCATTGTCCTAGAGCATTCACTTTATTTTCTTCAAAAACCTATGTTGTTTTAATTTCATTATGGTGTATGTATCTGATGTTACAGTCATTCTTTGCAGTGAGGTTGGAGGATGAGCCTACATGAATTATGTGTGGCAGGGCACCACAAGTTTTTAAATGCTGATTTTATGAGAATTTAATATGGCACGTTTTGAAATTTACTGTGGTTCAGGTAGCAACCCCACTATATCTTGTAATAAACAGCTAGTGTAAATGTGCCTTCTGTTAAAATAAGAACTTTTTATACTTGACCTTGTATTAATTTTTGTGCATTTAGAATATGCATTAAAATAATTTTACCACATCCTAACATCTTGCATTTTATATATTTGCACTATAAAGTGGGATGTGTAAGAAATTATGGTGGCACTTAGGAGGAAAACATTAGAATTCATTGTTCCGCTTGAATGCTAAGAATGTATGGAATTAATTTGTGGTTCATATTTTGGTCAAAAATAAGGTCAAGTTTCTGTATTAGCATCCTGAATAGCCGATACTGTTCCAGCTAAAAAAATCATGCCAAATTAAATGTAGCATTTTCCTAATAATGTTGAAAATTGTTCTTGCAATGTTTGAGTTCTTTTAATCAATTAATTGCTTTTCCTCTACAATAATTGCATACAGCTGAATAATGTCCCTCCCTTCTCTCATTTTACTTGAGAGTTTGCCTTTTACTTCCAAACAGCAACCATGTGTACGCACAGTTGGAAATAACTAACTAATGAGAGCTTCTTGGAATTTTATGTTATATGAAAATTAAGAGGTTTTATTTCAGCAGTTCAAGATGTCTGAACATTCAGTGCTAAGAGCTGTTAGTGTTGTTTAAATATTTTATTTTGCCTTTATTTAATAAGCAACATTAAACTGTCAAGTGTACTGTTGATCTTTCCTTGCTGTTTTATGTACGTTGACAAGGAGATACTCGAAAAACTAGTGTTTTTGCTTATTCGTTTTGTGAATTATTTCCTGTGCTGCTATAACAAAATGTACATATATTAAATTAATAATGTTTTATATGTGTATCTGTTAGCTTACCTTCTTGTGCATAATTTATGCAAGTAAAAATATTAAGTTAAAATGTTAGAGTGTTTAAAAAAATTATGCTATACATATGTAAGTTCTTAAAAGTCCTCTTACAAAATGGATACAGTGTTGCAGTAGCTTTAAAGCACCTGTTTCCTGTGTAATCGTATTTACAAATAGTAAATCCATCAGTTCTACACAGTAGTGATGGTGATGGCCTGTACGTATTTAGTACTAGTGTTGACTAATGGTAAACATTTGTCATAATTGTTGCACAGCTCACTGAAATGCAAGCTGAAAGTAGTTATTACAGTCCACAGAAAGTAAAATCTAAAGAAATAATACGCTGGGAACAAGAAGGGACCACAGCTGAGGTAATTTCCCATTACTTTTTCCATATATTCATTCATAGTAAATGTTTTGGCATTATAATGTTAGACTAAAGTTTAATTAAGTATCATTACTGAATTGGCAGTTACAGTACTTACATATTCTTCTGTTATTGGATGACTGTAATAACTTGAGTAGGTCCCTTTTTAGAATGAAGATAAATACTGAATTTTCAAATCATAATGTGTGCATTGTGATTCTTATACCTAATTATGTGAGTTAGTAATAGAACAGTTAGCCACAGTAACTGTATATACAGGGAACTAAAACAACCCCTGGTAATTTCAGTTAGGTAGGCATGCCCAACTGTGTACTGGGTCACAACTATAAAGTTTGAAGGCTAACACTTTTCTGCTTTCAGTTCACAACATTCCTCACCATGTTACATTTCCCCCCCGAATAGGTCCTCATGAGGGGAGGGCCCTTCTTTGATTGCCAAATAGGCTTTGTTGGTTGTCAAGCTCTTTGCCTTAAAGGAATTATGGGAATTAAAGATTTTGAAGAAAACATGAATAGAATTGATGCAGTAAGTACAATTTATATCACTGATGCATTGTAACTAGGAAGAATACATTTTTAGATGTTTTTAAAGATTGTGGTTGGGATCCAGAGAGCCATGTGACTAATTTCACACAGGAAACTTGCGTTTTTTTGTTTTGGAGCTGATTGTTATGTACAGCAAAGGACTTTTGAAGCAGAAGTGAGTTTAGGGATGCAGACCCCTCCCAGTGTGGGTGAGGGTTCCCCGGTTTCGGGTGCTCCACTTACCCCCCATTACCCCCTCAAACAGGCAAGAAGCTTGGAAGTGAGGTAGGGATGTCGGTGACATCAGGTGGGCACTCTGGGTTACCACTTTATGGTAAGAAGTGTGCATTATGTAGGCACATTGCTTTTATTTCTGGCTTCCTCCTAGCTTCCTGGTAAGCCCCATCCCCCACCTGCTGGTAACCCTGAGTGAGTTCAAAACATAATCTGTGTCATTTCATGGGAGACTACAATTAAATTGAATTACATTGAATTGAATTGAATTAAATTAAATTGAAAAGATAAGAAAATTAAAAAAGCATCCCATAGGATACACACCCATAGCTAAAGTAATCTCAGAGTATTCACAAGTCTGTACTTCACATCAGAATGTAGCAAGATGAGGAATGCCTCTGTTACCATGTAGCACATGTGCCTGGGCAATGAGGACTTTCCTCCCTGCACTGATATAAACTGAGAGCAAATGTTTGACTTTCCTTCCCCCAGTGGCATCTTCATATAGTAAAAAATGACTTGCTATATAGTATCCTGTTCACTATCTGATTCCTTATTGACAGAAGAAGAAAGAAACTTTACAAATGGCAGCAGCATATTGGGCCTAGAAACAAGTGTGAAAAAGAATGAAAGGCTTAAAAGCTTAATTTTTGCATTAAAGATGGTTTAGTATGAAAATGTTGTGCCACACGAGAGCCAAATTGAACACGAAGCATAAAATATATGCAACACTGTGCCATCTTGTAACTTGTACCATCACTGTAACACCATTGCCAGGCAAATGCTTGATTATTCCTTTTCCTCATTGATATTTAGCTGTTGAATAAATGGCCATAGGTTGGAACCATGTTGATTTAGTTTGTCTTAATAATTCTCTCTAACAATTAGGCAAAAATGTATAGGGGAGCTATGCATTGCTTCAAATCCCCCTTAATGTCCTTCAGGTTTCTTCTCTATAAAGAAGATACACAGTAATATTATCTTGCAGTGTCTGTGTTCCTACTCATTTTTGTCTTTTCTTTTTGCATAAGGAGGCCTACTTTTTCAGTTGTGGAGAAAATTTGAGCACAAAAGGGATGACATATCTGACCAATTCGCTGTTTGATTACAGAAGTCCAGAAAACAATGGGGTTCGTGCAGATTTCATTTTGGATGCAGCTGCTCACAAGGTCTTAAATTATTATTTTTTCTTATCTTAGATAATGGTAATTTAATGTTAATACACTAAGGTTTATTTTGCCCACATGTATGGATCTCATTATGTGCTCAACACAGCCTATTGTTTCCTAAAATATTTTGTCACTTCGTGGCTCCGCATTAATGTCTTCAGAGTTGTGTCTGAATGGTTATTGGAATCTATCTCTATTTTACATGATTAAATAGATGCCATGACAAATGTAGGATCTAATGAGTTAAGTGGTATTTATTTATTCATTGCTAAGCTATTTGGTGGGCTCGGCCAAGAAGTAGGGTAGAACAAAGTATGTTAGAGGTAGTGTTTACTAATGGATAGAATGTTACACCTGCCCTGGTACAATGTGTTGAAATTGTCCTGCTGCTTTGAAGCTCATTGGACAAGTGACTAATTTTTGAGCACAAGCTTAGTTGGGAGCATAAATATGATAGAACTTTAGTAAGCTGTTTTGAGCTTAGAAATGTAATAAATAGAAGCTGGTGTGCCCATATAGAGTTTACTCTTATTGTATGCCTTTGTTCTTGGATGTGGATTCCCCAGTGCAAAATGCATATACCTTTGCTCAAGTATGAGGATGCAGGCATGCACAAAATTAGATATATCTCTTTTTAAAATACCCCCCAAACAGGAGGATGATCTCTTCCTATTTGCTGCTTCCAAGCACTTTAAAGAGGGGCAGAACTAAAATTACAACTCTGCACACTCAGTAAGAAACTGAGGTTATTTATGTGTGTTGTATCCTAGTAGCTGCTGGCAGATGTGGAATAAGGTTAAGGTTATTTCACCTTTTGACCCCTAAAGACCTGGTGCTGGAAATTATGGGAGGTGCAAGGATAAAAAGTCATTTGGGTTGGGGTTCTGCAATAAGGATGGGAATCAGGTGAGATTGTCTTTTTTCATTTCACAAATTCCATTGGCCAAAGAAGAAGGAGAGGTAATTTAATAAATTTCTCCTTCCTTGAGGCAGGCCTCCACCTCCAACCATCATTTTTTTTTGACCATGTGAGTCTTATAACTTGCAGCACCAGTTTTGGGGGGATCAAAAGGGACTGCTGGGAGAAGGGTAATACAGGGAATATTTGTGTCTGTCAGGGCAGAGAACCCTGTATTGTGTAGCTGAGAATAAAATTAAGTATATAGTGGAGATCGTTCTGAACGAAATTCAAAATATGGGAGCCCCATTACAAATGTGGACATTTCTGTGAAAAATGTCACATGTAGCAATTTTAAAACCTATCATTCTACCTGCTGATCCAAACAGCACTTTCTGTTTCACTGATTAAAAAAAATACCAGGATGTAAAACAAGCTTCTTAACAGCTTCATAATGCATTTCAGAATAGGAAGGGAAGAAAAACACTGAGAGCCTCCTGACTCTCAAAGGAACCTAACAAATTTGTTAAAGCATCTTGATAGCTTGCTTGAAGTCTGATTACACATTTGGAAATATTACTTGTGGTTTGATGGGCTACTTTAAACAAAAATGAGCAAGCAGTATCTTAAACAAAACAAATCCCAAACACAGCTGATTTGTTTCTGGATACTTTTTCTAAATATTCTAATTTGACAACCTTACATTTTAAGTTTTCATTAGTCATCCAGTTTACTAGGAAGTAAGAGGTCAAACTGAGCTTATTTGCTCCATTAAAGATACTAATTAACCAGTAGTTACTGCTGAAGTGGACAAAAGATCCAGAAGAGTTATAGGTGTCCTTTTGTGTGGCCAGGTATAGATGTTGCATTAGCTATCTGAAGGATGAATTCTTTGACTAACCTCTGTCCTTTTGTTTTGATAAGCTTTACCATGTATTCATGAGCAAACCCAACAAGCATATATCTCTGGTTCTTGGATATAGCTCTGATACCATCAGGTTGTAATCTCAAGATTCTTTCCTAACAGAACATTAGTTGTATTTACTTTGCTTTGTTGGTAGGAGATGTACACAGAGATAGCTGGAATGCAGAGGTTTGGGGCTTTCTACATGGATTATCTGTACACAATGGAAAGCACCGGTGGCAAAGGTACTTCTTTCATTGTTTGCTTTCTCCTTGAATAACAGAAACAAAGACTTCTTCAGAGGCACCTAGTCCTTGACCGACTGTCCTTAGATTTACCTTTAAGGCCTAACTTAGATTCCATAGAATTACTTGTTGGAAATGCTGAGAAATGAAAATGCTCTAACATCTACTTCCCCCACATCCTTCCCCCAATTCTTATTTTTGAACATGTCCCATGTGAATGACTGATTTTCCCAAGGCTTCACGAGACCTTTCTCCACGTAACCTAAATCTTGGTAAGAAGCTAGAATGCTGCACTTTAACCAAGGAGATCTAGTTAAAATCCCTGCAGTACCCTAATGACTTTGGGCTGCTCCTTCCGTCTCAAGCATAACTTACCACACAGAGTAAAATGGGGGAAAGATGATTATTCAGTTCCTTGGATCAAGGGCAGTTATTAACGTACTGATAAAAAGTTATCTTCTTTTTTTTACCCAGTCATCTGTGCCCTGTTTTACCCAGTCATCTATATTATAATAAGATTGACAGCTTGATCCTGGCCTTGTTTACTTGGAAGTAAGTGCCACTTATTTCATGGCACGAACTCTCAAAGTAAGTGTTCATAGGATAGTAACTTGAGTTTCCAACACAGCATATACTTTGAACTACATAATCTACAGAGGCAAGTAAGTACCAGACATTGCTTTTCAACAGAAGGAATAGTATTTTAATGCAGCTGTTTGTTGCTTTAGTGAAAATCACCTTATCCTTGAAGAAATTCTTTGTAACCATAGCAGTCACTTCCACGTGATTCTTTAAATCTGGAGATGGATTTCTCCATCATCAAAGTATGGTAGTTTGTATGGTCATACATACTAGAATGCTGTTTGAGAGTCTCTATCCCAAAGGATGATTCATAGTGAATTCTTACTGAGGCAGAGAGGAGATAATCCTACTTCAGTTAATTGGATGTGTGGTCCAGCAAAATAATCATGTGATAGTGGCTATGAACTTGTCTGTGGAAATAGACCTACATCCTCATGGAGAGTGCTCTCCATCTGCTTGTTTCCTCCACTTTGTGTTACAGGTTGATTCTTTGTATTGTTCTAGAGTCCCCAATGTTGCCTGGCATTGTCTTTTCCATAATGAATTCATTCTAGGAGCCAGAAACGAAGCCACTGAGTCCTGACACCATAAATATATCTCCACTTTCCCCCCTTTTTGAAGCGTTATCCTTGGAATTCCTTTAGACTTTGTACTTACTTAAAGGAGGTTCCAAGTTTCACTGTCTATAATAGCAATCAGCAGACTATCTGCAAAATGATGCATGGATGATACACTCAATAAAGTTGATATTCTCTGAACTAAGTATGATAGTATTATCGCTCTGTTCAGTAGTAAACGTGGTGATCCCATGCCTAACAGTAGGACAATGAAATAGCAAAAGGAGGATTTTATCCATACTTAGGGGACTATCCAGCGATGCAAATTAGTAATAGTCTTTAAATAACCCCCCCCCCCGCAAAGCTCAGCATATAATGAGCATGTTCAGCATGTTCATTTCCTCTAGGAGCCACAGAATGTTTAGAGCATGTGAATATCAGTCAATGAGGGAGGGAGAGAACAGCGAGGAGAGAAAACTGACATGCTTCAGCCCCTAATAGCTTATAGAAATGGCTAACCCTGGGATTTGTGGACTGCTTGGGTCCATGGGGGTGCTTCAGTGGAACAGGTAGTAAGGGAAAGAGTGCTTTACTTTTCATATTTTGTTAGTCTTTAAGGTGCTACTGAACTCTTACTCTTTTCTACTGCTACAGACAGACTAACACGGTTACCCATCTTGATCTTCCTTTACTTCTGATTCTCTAGTGAAACTTCCTGTTTTAGCTGTTATGGCCCTTCTTGTGCATAACCATTGTCTGTCCTCAGTAGCCTCTGTCCTCACATTCAGTATTAACCTTCTGTTTCTTTGCTGTGTTCCAAGTATAATAAAGAGAGAACTAATAAAGTGCATCTACACATTATTAGTTTCTGGATGTTTTGGAAACAAGCCTTAAATACAGCTCTGTTTCAGTGGTTCCCAAATTAGAGTCTACGGGCCTAGATTTTTTTCTTCAAATTTAAATAAACATAAATAGGCTTGGGGGGGAGGTCCACAAAAATGAATTCAGAAAGGGTTTTCTCTGATTGCTTTAAGTTCAAAAACCACTGACTTTTAGTATCCTGGCAGGGGAGATTAGGATCCGGTGATAAGCATCCTGAGGCATGCACACTCCTCTCGCCCAGGATGTACAAGCTGTTTTGAAGCTGAAAATATCTTGATGAGAGCATTAATTAGAAGTGGTGGAAAAGTCCTTCTTCTGATGCTAGCTAATCCTTCTCAAAGGACTTTTTGTAAGCAGTAAAGGGGGGTGTTCACAGTTTGTATCAGCTTATATGTTTTAGAATGGTGAATGGGACTGAAATTGGGGTCAGGGAGTGCATGATACAAGATAAACCCATGTGTGCCCACACAGAAGGCCACTTGATGAACAACGGTTACAGGGAAGTGCAACCCTGTTTTTTCCCTACCCAAACTCTCCCATAGAGCATAGGGAGGGAGATATAAAAATACCCCTAGTCCTGCATGGGTACCACTCATATTCAGGATTAGTGGTCAATTCACCTCTCACTCACTCAGTCCCAAATTTCAGACTGGGCTCATTTGCACCATGGAGCTTGACTGCTGAGGTTCATTTATCACCTGAGTTCAGCAATATCAAAGTGTATGTATGACAGAGAGAATGTGGAGAGAGAGATTCTTTACTTGTTTCCTTCCCCTGGATTGGGCTTCCAGCTTCTGGAATCTGATTTTGCAGTTGTGATATCTTTCTGCTGGAATGGTGTCAAAATTTAAAATATTAGCTGATATTTCTTGCCTTTAGGACTTGTTGCGTTTTAGCTGGTTATCTGACAATAAAGTTCAAAGCAGTTGTGGCACACATGAGCTGTCAATCCAGTTCAACAACTGGATAATTTCCCAATGGCCTTTCATATTAGGTTATGTTACATTTTGGTAGGAACTTGTGAACTGTTGGTAGCTAACACCTTTAGATGGTCGAAAAGGAATGAATTACTAAGATAGCGCATGATGATTTATGATTTACACATTTGTAAGATTTGATGCATCTTGGAGCGGCTACATATGGGTGTCTTACCACTCCAGAACTTCTGTTTTCCTCTGCCTAAGGGGAGTGTAATTAGTAGTATATTTGTATTTTGACTTAATATTTTACAGGCATTCTGAGATCAGGTGAAGAAAACTCAGTAGTAGACTTCAGCTTTTCAGAAAATGCCTTTTCCTTGCTATGCTATCTTGTGAAATTAAATGCTTCAGAAAATTATGTCTGCAAATAGCACTGGCTTTCCTTTTTGATCTGAATTGTTCCTTTAATAGTTGGAAAAGCACATTTAGGGTTTTTTTTTACTGTTGGCATTCTGTCCTTGTTATCTGGTAATGTTACACTATATTTAATTTTGGCATTTAGTGTAAAATAGTAGATGTGACTGAAAGGTAACTGTCAAGGCAATTTTGCTTTGTTGCTTTCATTGCCTCTTTAACCTCTCTGTGAGTTATGCACATACTGATTATATCCCTTCTGGATAGTACTAACCTTTCAAGGTTAATTTGTCATTTTAAAAAACTGAATCAAACACGATAGATATTTGGAATGTTATCATATCCTATAATCAGATGTTTAATATTTGCATTGAATGTTGCATTGAATAACTATAGAATGTTATTCAGATTTTGAGAGAGGATATAATTCCATAACTAAATAGAATGTAGATCTGTAGTATTTTGTCAAGAAGTTTATGTGGAACTCTTTTGGATCCTCATAAGCGTTCATCTGTGCATTGGCTGTTCTTTGCATAATGTGTTCCTGAACACGACAAATAAACATTAGTTGCAGTTCATCCTGACACCTAGCCCTGATGTGCCTGCACTTGTGGATTTCTTTTCTGAAAAAATATCTTAAAATACTTAGTGGCACTGTTCTGCATGATATTCTGAAATGCAGTATACAGGAGGTGGGCTAATCCTCTTTCAAAAAACACATGTCTCCATAACTGCAACAACAGGCCATTTCAAATGTCTTCTTACTGATGGCTGAAGCTGCAACTTGTAATTGACAGTTACATGGGGCTTTCAGGATAAATGCCAGCACTTTGCATTGAGTCTAGAAAGTAGGTAGGTGCAATTCTTAAGGATAGGTTGAATTTGAAAAAAAGTTAGGCATCTGATTTTTGGACTGAACCATATTCAGGTGGTTTCCAGTCTACCATATGCATTTGAAATGTATAAGATGTTTTCAGTGTAACTCATGGTAGAACATATATTTGTATTCCACATTAGGGGACAGGCACAAACTGGGAAAATGAAGGTTTGTTTCGGTTCATGGGGCCACACAAACCACAAATCACAAACCTCCCCGTTTACCAAACTGGTTCGTTTTGTGAGGTTGGCCAATTGACTCTCCTGTCTGCACCAAAACAAAACAAACTTGCCTGCCTGTGTGCTGGCTCTACCCACCCCACCACTGGCTGCAACCGGTCTCCCTTTCCTTGTTCAAAGTTGAAACAGAGATCTCCCCCCACAAATGGTTGCCCAGCAGCCCACTGGCCCTTTCCCTGCCATTTTCCCTCTGATTGGGGCACTTGCACTCACAGTTTCTTCCCTCCTTTTGCACTTTGGATCCTAGGAATCTTGATTTCCACGCCTCTGAGCTCCCCCCCCCCCCACCAGGCTTTGCATCATCAGCTGGCCTTGCTCTGCCTGTCCCTTATCTTGGTTTTTCAACTTTCCACCCCCTTCGTGAACTAGGTGGCCCCCCTTCTGTACTTTGGGCCCTAGGATCCTCAACTTCAGTGCCTCTGAGTGCTGACTCCCCTGGCTTGGCATCATCAGCTGACCACAGACCTCCCAAAGATGCCCCTGCACATGCCTCCCATAGAACAGAATGGGAGCTTCCTTATTGGTTGCCAGTATTGCCTGTTAAGCTTTGGCGGGCCACTATTGATATTTCCAGGGCTGTAGAAGTCCATCCCCACATTGCTCTGATGCTCAATTGATCGGCGCCAGCATTTCAGCCACACAAACCGCCAACACAAACCGTATGGTCCTCCGTGAAACCATGGGGGTTTGTGGGAGGTTTGCTGTAGGTGCGATCGCACGACCCTTGCTCATGAACCATGAACTGGGTGATTTTTGTGACGAATTTAGGTTCACAATGAGGTTTGTGTGACTGAAATTCCACCTAGTTTTTACTCAGAAAAAAATGTGAAGAGTTCAGATCTCTAACATCCTATTGATTTTTAAAATGTTTGTGGTTTACTGTGGTATTCTTTTTGGAAGAGCAGTACCCTGGATAAAATGAAAGCAGAATTTGAATGTGTATCCCTGTCAGCATATACAGTGGCGATTTACTTTCTGCTCTGCTGAGTTTCAGAGACCAGGGGCCAAATTCTGTCTGAATCTAAATGTAGAGCAACTCTTTCATTTTTGAAGGATTTAAGTACTGTACTGAATTGGATTGAGGGGTGGGTTCACACTTCCATTGCACATGCTGTATATACCTTTTCTGAGAGGCTGTAAACCCTTATCTCTAATTTTAAGAAATTTGCAGCGCAGTCTTAAGTCTCCAAGTTCACTTAAATTAATAGGTTTAGAAGGGTGTAATTCTGTTTAGGATGATGTCTGGGGCTGGTACTTATGCACTGCTCTGGGGGCTGGCCAAGGGGCCGTGGCAATTTCAGGGCTGGAGAAGCACCTCCAAGTCTACCATTAGCACCAGGCTGCAGTAGTACTGGAAGGGCAAGAAAAAACCTTTCCCATACCCATATGGCCTGGCAGAACATTGTTGGAGGGCTGTGGCAGCAGTGAAGTGGTGGAGGCAGCCAGGGAAGGCAAGCAGGGGGAGCCCAGGAAGAGTCCCCTGCCAAGAGCAGCGGGGGGGGGGGGGCAGGGAGAAGGCCTTGCCAGTATACCCAAGGACAGCTGGTCAGGGTGACACAACCATCACAAGCCAAGGGGGCTGGAGTAGGCCAGGGGTGGGGGCCACAGGAGGGGCCAGGAGACAGGCAGGGGCAGGAGATAGTTACTTCCTGGGAACAGCACCAGCCAGCAGGAGGTTGTTTTGGAGTTTCAGGTTGGGTGGGGCTCCTGAAGGAGGAAAGCACAGAAACTGTGAAAGATCCAGGTCCTACCCCTAATTGGAGGGCATTGTTAGAGGCCAGGATGGCCCTGCCTCCAGGCGGGTCTATATTAGGCACAACCTCAAGGCAGTCTGGGAGGACAGGCTCAATCACACCTAAGCAATCGGAGGGTGGGCCAGAGGCTGGAGAGAGAGGGCTGGGTTGCTGTAAACCACCCTCCTCTCCATTACTGAGATATGTGTTGTTGTTGTTGTTGTTTAGTCACACAGTCGAGTCCAACTCTTCGCAGCCCCATGGACAACATCACACCAGGCCCACCTGTCTTCCGTTGTGCTCCGGAGTTTGCTTAATTTCATGTTTGTTGCCTTGATAACAATTTGCTGTCCCCTTCTTCTTTGACCTTCAGTCTTTCCCAGCATCAGGGTCTTCTCCAGTGAGTGCTCCCTTCTCATTTGGTGGCCAAAGTATTTGAGCTTCAGCTTCATTATCTGGCCTTCCAGGGAACAGTCAGGGTTGATTTCTTTTAGGATTGGCTGATTTGATCTCCTTGCAGTCCAGGGGACTCTCAAGAGTCTTCTCCTGAACCATAATTCAAAGGAGGAGGCTGGAGGGCGCACCCACCCCAGACTCTGACCCCTCAAGAGGCAGAGTCTGACATGTGGGTCAAGAGCATGAGGACCGAACCTGAAATCCCCTTGTTCAAATGTCAGATCATTGTTGCTGTTCACTGTCAATTGTACCTTTCTGTATGCAATGGAAGAAGCTTAGTAATCAATCTAGATATATATTGTAAATTTCAAGTTGGCAGAAGATCCTGGATACAAATAAGAAAAACAAATAGTTGAAAAAAGGAACAAGAGTCCAATAGCACCTTAAAGACTAACAAAATATGTGGCAGAGTATGAGCTTTCGTGGGTCACTGCTCGCTTCTTCTGACTCATGAAACCTCATACTCTGCCACATATTTTGTTAGTCTTTAAGGTGCTACTAGACTCTTCTACTTTTCTACTTTTCTTTTCTACTTCTTTTCTTTTCTACTGCTACAGACAAACACAGCCACCCATCTTGAAAAAAGATGTCAAAGAAAATAGTTCTTAGCGAGACAGTATTTTATATAGGTTTTTTTCACATAGTGGTATATTCTCTGTATTTGATTGTGTGACTATGTGTCGTTACTATTGCAGCAAAAGTTTTTCATAAGTCATTTAACCAATTTCATTGTCTAAAAAACATTCTGCATTTGTAGGGTCTGGAAATCAAACAGAAGTATCTTCCATAAAGACTGAAGACTTGGGCAATGTTCAGGAGATGTCTACAAAAAGTTTGATTGTAGGCCCTCTCATTCTTCGACTTGATAGCAGTGCAGTGCACAGGATTATGAAAATGATTGCTTGTGCTCTAGAACATGAATATGAACCATACAGCAAGTCTAAACAAGGTATGCTATATGTTAATATTTCTTTTTGCAAGTAAAGTAGATGAGTTTAACAGAAAAGTATTAATTACAAATAGTATGCATATGCAAGAAGGAAGGTTTGCATGGAATTTAATTTTAACTGCCTTAGCATGGCCACTGATAACAGCTGAAAGGGGATCTTTCTGTTTTGCTGTGTGTCTGTTTGACTAGTACAGTGCCTTTTGAAAGGGAGTGAGAGTTGGAGACAGCTAGATTTTCTGCTTCTGAAAAAGGGAGAAAGTCCCCTTTAACAACCAAAAGGGCTACACTGGGTGTCATGGGACCTGCATGGACAAAAAGCATGTGCAGTGATGGCTGTAGTAAGGAAGGGAGATGGGTGAGATTGAGTGAAAAAGTTCTCTGGATCCAGCCAGAGATGTGGTATCATAATAGGTACATTTTACTGTCCTGCAGAAGGAAGTCCCAACATGGGAGTCTCTTTACGGTAAAAATTTAAAGACAAATATAATAGACTAGGAATAAGGCCCATTGTGGAAATAAATACAATGAACTCTAGAAAGAGGCTCTGGAAGAGTGCCAAGGCCTTGGGCACTCAGCGTCAATTTGCTGTGGTGACCTCCTCAAACCCCACCCTCTCCAGTCCAGGCTCTACCCCTGAAATTCCCAGGAATTTCCCAACCTGGAGTTGGCAACCCCATCCCCTTCCCAGCTAACCATCAGCCTACCGTTATCAGCTCCTCTGACTGCAGCTGACTTCTGCCCTCCCTCCTGGAGATCAGTTGTAATTCTGAGTGATCTCCACCCCTCACCTGGAGATTGGCAACAATGGTTCCGCAGGAGGAAAAGTAGTCTTTCTCTGCAATGGGGACCAAAGCAGCCAACATAATTCTCCTCTCCCCCTTTTGACTTGCACAACAACCCTGTGAGGTAGGTTAGGCTGAAAGTCTGTGACTGGTCCAAAATCACCCACTCAGCTTCTACAGCAAGAACCTGGATCTAGCAGATCCTTCTCTGAAGCACTGACTGCTATGCCTAGGGTAGCCAACTTCCAGGTGGAGCCTGAAGATCACCAGGTATCACAACTGAACTCCAGACAACAGATCTCTCCCCCCCCCCGGAGGAAATAACTGCTTTGGAAGGTGGGCTTTATGGCATTCTGTTCAGCTGAGGCCTCTCCCCTCCCCAAACCCTGGCTTCCATAGACTCTACCAGAAAATCTCCAGGAATCTCCCTACCTGGAGCTGGCAACCCTAGCTCAGCTGCCCCCAATGAGTTCCTCACAAAGGCCTGCAAAGGGTTTCCTTCCTTTGTCTGAGCCAAGCTTGGTTGCCTACTGTGGCGAAACGGGCTCCAGTTTACAACTCAGCTGTTTGCCTCCAAACCTCTTCCCTCACTCCTTAAGTTTGCTGCCACCACTCACTGAATTGTCACTGCCTTTTTAGAGGCTGAATCTCCCTATTTGGAGATGGAATCCCCAATCTTTGGGGGATCCCTGGAAAGTTGGCAACCCAACAATCTGGCCTTTCCTTGCTTCCTTGGGCTACCCCCTCCCTTTGTTATTGTGCAGAGCTAGGGAGACTATATGGTCAGAGCACAACACAGATTAGTAGCCCAAATAATTTACACAGTTATGGAGCACACACACACTAAACGAATAAGGCAGAACTGTAGAAGTAAGCACACACTATGAACCAACAGGACATAAATCAACAGGGGTTAAACACAATCCTCTTTTCCTACACACAGTACTCTCTACCTCTGGAGGTTGTGGGCTCAGGATAGGATCTCTCCTTGGACCGGCCTCTGGCTCTGCTTCAGCCTCTCTCTCTTGCCTAAGAGAGCAGGGAAACTTCCATTCATTCCCCAGTCCAGCTGACCGTGGAGTGGCTGAATTTCTGTTGCCTCCCAGGGTTCCCCCACGTCTGTGGCTTGTGGCCTTGGACAGCCTCATCAGCATAGGCAGCAGGAGCATTTCCTAACCTCTTGTAGGATGAAGACTGCCTCCTCCCTGGATGGGCTGGAGTCTATATTGATGCTGCCCTGCCCCTTGGGACAGTCCCTCTTTTCCTGCACTTTTTGGCCTTGGGGCAGCTGGGAACTGTAGGCCAGCAGATCAGGAAGCCCCATTCAACCCAGTGAGTGATATCCCTGCAGGCCCCTCTCTGGAACTACAGCTCAATTAAACCTTATGGGGGAACATTTTAAACAAACAACCACACGGCAGCCATCTTACAAACACAGGTAACTGCTATTTTGTTACACCTACCAACAGCCACTGAGGGAAAAATTAGTCCCACACAGGAGGCAAGCAGGAGAAGTGTCTTCGTCAAGAGAGAAAGCCGTTTGCCAGTAATTCTGGCAGGGCACAGTGGCTGAAGGGGGAGTGGGCGGGGAAGAGGAGCAGACCCAGCACCCGGCCAGTGGCACGCGAGTACTCTTGAGTGGCGGCTGATGGGCCAATGGCTGAGGGGGCGCATTGCACAGCCAATGGAAGAGCTGCAAAGTGCCATCCCAAAGCACAATTATTATATATAGAGATAAGATGTCGAGAGCCATTTGTTTATTATTTTAGTGGTGTGGAACTTAACAGAATTATTTTTTTGAGCATTATTTTTCTCTGGAAGCTTTCCTAAATGTAGAAGGGTGGTACGATTTAAAAAAAAATCGTAACCTATTGGGGTTTTTCTGCTGCTCCTGATGTTTCTCCTTAGAAAAAAAACTCCCCTGTATCTGTTTTTAGATTTTCCTGCTAACTTTACTATTAGATTAATGCTTAATTAATTTACTATTAGAATAATGCTCTGTGTGTGTGTGTGTGTGTGCTGCTTTCCTCTAATGTTTTATATTTATTGTTGAAAGTTGCTTAGAGAGGAGTGCACTAGAAATGAGGTTTATCTATAGATGACAATGAATATTCACTTGAGTTCTATACTACATTTGGTTGACTCTAATTAATTGTAGATTTTGTAGATGGAACTAAAGCCATGCCAAGCTCAGAAGAAATATCAGTTTTGGAGGAATATATTCCAACTCGTATTACCAACTTCACAATTCTGAAATGCACTGTTACAATTCCTATGGCTGAATTTAACTTGCTGTGCCACTTGCTACCTATAATCATGGGACAAAAGGTAAAATAGTGTCTGTCATGAACTATGCTTGGGATCAACATATAGACATTAACTTGGGATTTAGAGAGACAGTGTTGTGCAGTGGTTAGAGTGCTGAACTAGTATCTGGGAGACCCAGGTTCAAATCCCTATTTTGCCATGGAAGCTCACTGGGTGACCTTGGGCCAGTCACACACTCTCAGCTTAACCTTCCTCATAGGGTTGCTGTGAGTGTAAAAAAGAGGAGAATGATGTAAGCTGGTTTCAGTCTCCACTGAGTAGAAACACAGGATATAAATGAAGTACATATATTCTTATTTCACACAGGTTAACTTTTTGTCATTAACTTTACAGGAATTTTCAAAAATTGTTTTATATATAACATTTAACATAAAACTCTGAAAAGCCCTAAAACTGTGGGAAACGGGATGACAGGGATAAGAGAGGGGGTTCTTTTCTTTTAGTTTCATATTTGTTCCTGTGTACATGTATGTGCACATCACAAAGTGATGGCAAAACAGACTATGCAAATGTGTTTCTCTCTTTAAAATGTGAGTATGTTATGTTAAATGAGTGTCTATTCTTTTTCCAATATGATCTGTGAAGAGTCCAAGCAGCTTCTTAAATACTACCAGTCTTCAACCTCTGCGTCCTCTGCCTTGTATCCAAATATTGGTGGACAAAATTGTCTTGGAACACTCTGTACCAATGTATGCTGAACAGCTCGTACAAGCTGTCAGCAGCATTAGCCAGCCATCTGATAACTTACTTCACTATTGTTATGCTCACTGCTATCTGAAGGTAAAAAATGTTCTATTAATTTAGTGCACTGCTAACAGCTTTGACTTCATAGAACTTTATATAGACATTTGGTTACAGTCAGAAATCATTATATATGTGTGATTCCTAAAACAAACAAAAAACGAATTTACTGAGGTTGGGTTAGTTTGATATTTGAGCCAACTTTTAAAGTATGTTGTAGGTTGTTCTCTCTCTGATATGATGTATTCTAATTTTTATAGAAACATGCTATCCTACTGATAGTTAATTCATAATGTCAAATACATTTTGCAAATGAAAAGTGATTTTAGTATAAAAGTTTATACTTCAGGCTCTGCTGTTATTGTTCTTATGGCGTGATCTTTTGATTTGTTTCAGATATTTGGTTTTCAGGCAGGGCTCTCCTCATTGGATATTAATGGGTCGTACAGCTCACCAGTCTCAGTTGTTCCCCCATTCAGTACTGCTATTTATGGCAAAATGCTCCAGCTTCCAAAGTACTGGTAAGTTTATGCCATATTCTGGGTTTACCAAATATGATCAGACTTTCTACTATTTCTAGTGAACTTGGCCTCCACCTGCCATCAACTATTGCCTGGACAGTTACTATCAAATATTGGTTGCATTTTCAATTTTGGGCTTGCCCTAATACACTGCTATATGATTTACTAAGGGACTACCAAGTGCGATGAAAATCAATTATTTTGTATTATCTGTCAGAGTATTTGGGATATAGAGAGCCAGACCATTGCTGCGGGAATCAGCAGGACTTGCTCTGCTTATTTTCATGGCCTGTTGTCCACCCCAGGGCCAGGAGCTGCCTACATGCAAAATCTCACTAATCCTCGACAGCATTGGGCTTTTATTTATTTAATTTATTTATTATTATATTTATATCCTGCACCTTCCCGCCAAGGCAGGCTCGCTAGACTGAATATTTTTCCTTTAGTTGTTCAGGTCTATATCACAATATACCTCTTGAGAATAGATTACATAAATACTGCTCACTGGAACCTGACTCAATCTTTCATATTTTACTTCTCTGTCCCACGCATTGTAAGCTTCCTCAACAACTTCTTGATCCTGTTATTTCCAACTTTACTGGCTCCCCAGAGCGAATTACTCGGTATTTACTCGCTGATAAATCCATCAAACTGATGGAACTGGTGGCTGAATATCTGGCTATTGTGTTGCGTAAGGGTAATCATATTTCTAAGGTTAGAGAAGAGAATATTTGATTAATTTTGTCATCATTGTTATTCTTTGATATTGTTTTATTGTTTTATCTGAACAGTACCACTCCCATTTTGACTTTTATCTATGTAAGATCATCTCTGTATTTTATTATATTTTATGCCATTAAAGGTTATTGAAACTTGAACTTGAACTTGGTAAGTATTAGATGCTATGAATTATTGACACAGGCATTTGTTACATTTCAATTGGGGAAAAGGCTGAAAATGTAGTAAAAACATCAATTTTATGTCTTAAGAACATACCAAATATGAACTACAACAACTTCAGAGCTAAAATCTCTTCAGTGCTTCTGCTTCTTCCCTGCCTTTTTCTTTTCTTTTTTTCCCATCCCCCTGGGGGGAGGTTTTTATTGGGGTTTTTTCAGACTACAAAACTACAACAGAAAATATGGGGAAGGGAACTACATCTAGGGGGAGAAAGAAAAAAGACCCACAACTAACTAAAAACCCAAGAGTAGGGTATCAGTACATCAGCTTAACATCATGCTATTTTAAAAAATATTTTTGGGGAAAAAAATGTCAACGAACATGAAGTTGAGCAAACTTCAGAGGACAGCGGAAGACTGGAAGGCCTGGCATGATCTGGTCCATGGGGTTGCGAAGAGTCGGACTCAACTGTGCGACTGAACAACAACAACATTTTCAGAAAGCTACTAATAATACAGTGAACTTAGTCGGTTATGCTAAGATAATATCATTTAATCATCCCTTTAACTGTTTAAAGAAAATCCCAGAGCATCCCAAGTAATTTTGCATTTCTTCCCTGCCTTTTCCCAGAGTGCCCCAGGTTATGTCTTAAAGAGGCAGTAACATATAAACAATAAGACACACAACTTTCAGCAATTATTAGTATTCACACTCCCCCCAACAACAAAATTATCATATCTGTGTAAGTCACAGTGGATAACAGACAAGGACTGGATAGTAAAATGGCACATGTTGAACTCTGTGATCATAATTCCACTTTCCCTATAGAACAGATAATTGAGAACATTTTGATGCCAATTTATAGGGTTCTTTCATGTGTTTTCCCATCTGTTCACATATGAATTATGGTCTCCTAATGAATATAGCTGGGCTTGTTGAAAGTCCAAGTGCAACGTCAGTTTGTAAGTACGGTGATCTTCCAAACAAGTAGAAGGGTGAGAACCCTATGGCTTTATGCTGTGTACAGTTCTAAGTGCAAATCATCTTGTTAAGAGAGTCCTTCCAACTGGCTATTTGTTTCTCTGGTACAGTTTGTCACATCGCTAGCAGCATCTGATTTGTTCTGTCAACTTGGCAATTACCTTGAGGATGGCATGGAGTTATCTGAAAAGGCTTTTTGAAAAGATAGTTTTCAAATTCTGCACCTTGATCATGATGTAATCACTTGGGAAACCCAATTTCAGATTAAAATCATTGAAGATTTGATGCTGATCTTCCAGACTTGTTGGTTGTATAAAATAAGCCTGGACAAACCTTGAAAAAATATCAGCACTAAAATATATTCATATCATCCTCTGCATCCATCTAAATGCAAGAAATAAGTGGACACAAGTTCAAAAAGTTCTGCTGTGACTAGATTGGTAAGCGGAGCTCTGTCCAGCTAGCATTGTTTCTTTTGTTTGACACAGCTGCAAATGCTGGTGACATAATGTTCAATGTCTCTTTTCATGTGAGGCCAGCCCCCCTCCCCAAGTGTTCCCTCGCTAAATTAAGGACCTGTTCCCACCAAGGTGTCCCATTTCCTCATATAGTTCATGATATACCAAGGGCTTGTATTTTGCAGGTAAACTATTTGGTTTCTTGACTCGTTTTTCCAATAAAGCAGTCTCTCATTGTATACATGAAATCAGTTTCATTCTTGCAGAGGAGTGCGATGTTCTTAATTGTACTTACAGTTAGTGGGTTAATGCCCATTGTCTTATACTGTAGAATTTTGGAGATCAAGATCTTCTTTCTTTGCAGCAAGTATGTAATCCTTTGCAATGGGCTTTAGTGTGGAGGCAAAGCCTTTTGCAAAAATTTTTACTACCAGGGGGTTGAAAGCAACAGGTATCAACAGGATACATTACCTTCTTCCTGTTCATCTGCAGATTGTAAAATGTCTTCAACCACATCCATAGGTGTTTCTTTGGTAATCTGAGGTATATACCTGACACTCTCAAGTGCCGTCCTAGATAATACATCAGCATCCACAAATGATTTTCCTGGGCAGTATTTTATGCTGAAATTGAAATCAGCCAATCCCCTACCCAGCAATGGGTGGTAGTGTTAAATCATGCAGAAATATAAAGGCATAAAATATAAAGGTATGTTAATAGGTTGTTATTACTGTACACTGTGAATCAGAGCACATAATAGAGGTAGTCTAAGAACTTGTCTGTGACTGCGCACTTCAAGGCCAAGAATTCCTGAGTCCAAATGATGGTTTTTCTCTGCTGCTGTGAGTTTCCTTGAACCATATCCAATAACCCAGAGTCGACCTTACTGCTATTGATAGAGGACTGCACCAAGCCCATTATTAGAAGCATCCACATGTACAATAAAAGGGAATTACATACTTGGCTGTATTAAACGCTCCGGTAGCTAATTTAATATGATCTGGTGTTGCTCAGTCCAAGATACTGGTTATGTGGAGGGTACATGTCAAAAAGTCCCTCTTTGTCCATTCATATGTTTCCTTCTCTGGGTTGATCTGTGAGATTCAGTTGTGATAGAACCTAGGAAAAGTTCAGGATATCAAACAATGGTTTTGTTATGTGAGAAAAGTCTGGGGTATACTTTTAATCATCATCAGTTTTTATACCCCGCTTTTCTCTACTGTAAGGCATCTGAAAGCAGCTTACAATCGCCTTTCACTTCCTCTCCCCACAACAAGCACCTTGTGAGGCTGGTGGAGCTGAGAGAGTTCTGAGAGAACTATGACTGGTCCAAGGTCACCCAGCAGGCTTCATGTGGAAGAGTAATCATGTGTAATCAAACACTACACAAAAGAGCCAGTTTGGTGTAGTGGCTAAGTGCGTGGACTCTAATCTGGGAGAACCGGGTTAGAATGGATAAAAGGAAGTACTTCTTCATCCAAAGAGTGATTAACACATGGAATTCACTGCCACAGGAAGTGGTGGCGGCTACAAGCATGGACGGCTTCAAAAGGGAATTAGATAGGCATATGGAGCAGAGGTCCATCAGTGGCTATTAGCCACAAGGTATAGATAGGGACTCTGGGGCAAGGTGATGCTCTGTCTTCTTGGTGCTTGGTGGGGTCAACAGTGGGAAGGCTTCTAATGTCCTGGCCCCACTGGTGGACCTCCTGATGGCACTGGTATTTCTGGCCACTGTGTGATACAGAGTGTTGGGCTGGATGGCCACTGTGTGATACAGAGTGTTGGGCTGGATGGGCCTTTGGCCTGATCCAACATTGGCCTCTCTTATGTTCTTATGATTCCCCACTCCTCCACTTGCACCTGCTGGATGACCTTGGGCAAGCCATAGTTCAATGGTGACTTTTAATTCCCTATTGCTCTTCAACAAGGGATTGCTGGTATCCTTGGGTGAAAAGACAGTGTTTGTCTCATTCTGAGGTTGTGCATACAACTGCTGTAGTGCATCATTTTTCTCTGCCTTTGCCTGGGGTACCATTTCCCTGCTTATGTTGTTTCTCTCTTTCTTCACTGACAGCCAGCTTCAGTTTTTCAAACAAGGTTGTATTCCCCATTACTATGTATAGGTATGAAAGTTGGACAGTGAAGAAAGCTGACATGAAGAAAGTTGATTCATTTGAAATGTGGTGTTGGAGGAGAGTTTTATGGATACCATGGACTGCTAAAAAGATAAATAAGTGGGTTCTAGATCAAATCAAGCCTGAACTCTCCCTAAAAGCTAAAATGACCAAACTGAGGTTATCGTACTTTGGTCACATTATAAGAAGATTAGAGACACTGGAAAAGACAATAATGCTAGGAAAAGTTGAAGGTAGCAGGAAAAGGGGAAGATGCAACCTGAGATGGATTGATTCAGTCAAGGAAGCCATGGCTTTCAGTTTGCAAGACCAGAGCAAGGCTGTTAACAATAGGATATTTTGGTGGTCATTAATTCATAGGGTCACCATAAGTCGGAAACACTGATGGCACTTAGCGCACACACACATGTAATCAGTGACCCGAGTGTCATTTAAATAAGGCTGCATCATGATCCTAATATTATCTCTTTGTAATCCTGTAAGAAAGGAAAGCAGCAGCATGAACAGTCCCTCATCCTCTAAT